ATATATGCGTTATATTGAAAGAGTGTTTTTTTTAGTCACACATATATGCACATACAAGTTCCACTGTTGGAGTGTTTGTTTGTTTTTGTTCTATGTGCGGCTCCCTGTTCGTCGAATTTTATTTATATACGCTCGATGTGCCCGCTAGTGTTACGATTATTGTCAATCTGCCGTTGAATTTCCTGTGTGGCCGTGACGAGAGTTTTGAGAGGGCCATTCACACCATACGTACATATACAATAAATAAATGGAGGAATTAATATGAGTCTTTGTCTCCTCCACCCCCCTTTCTCCCTCTCGTCTGCTTCTTTGACCACACAGCTTGCCGGCACAATTGAGAAATTGGTGGAGCGCTTGGCCGACGAGCTTCCGTTCGATTCAGAATACGTCTCCGTGTTTCTCACCACATATCAGTGCATGATCGGTACGTCTATTCAAAAAAGAATCTCTACCTCCGCAGTTGCTGTAGCTTTACCATTTTTTTTTTGTAGTATTGAACCGCCCGTATGATATATTTCTCCGCAGTTGTGCCAATGGTTGTGTTGTAAACCAGTTGCTAAGTCGTACAGATGTGAATGCCCAACGTGACGAGGACTAATGTCATTGCACGTTTCGACTCCCTCAATGATTAAAGGGCTTTTGCTAAGAAACACAGCAAGTCATAGAATTGCTACTGGAATTATACGCTCACTTTTGTGGTCACTGTCAAATTCGAAATACATTTCTACGCGCAACGATACCAATATGTGATATCAAGCACTTTGAAGGTTGCTCTGGAATGCACCAAAAATATAAATATGCTATTAAAGTCGAAATTTTGGGTGTCCCTTGACCCGCACTTGCCCTATTTTCAGATGGGCCCACATTGATTCGCAAGCTGATTGGACGCTTCAATTCCAAACCTCGGTCGACCAGCAAAGAGGATTTGGCGTTCTACAGCAAGTGGAAAAAGCCTATCCAAACGAAGGTGCGTGCACCCCCACCTCCGCTGCTTCTTTGTGCACCTCTCACCACCTCTCACGTTTTCGGTCCTTCTTTGGACTACGCCAATGCCCCCGTGATGCTGTGTTTAGTTCTCTTTGCTGCGGATGCTTTCTCCACTCGTTTATGCTATCGTCTGACCCTTTCGTTGACCCTTTCGTTGACCCTTTGTTGGCCGCTTTTACATTTTTTGGTTTAGGTACTACGTGTAATCCTGATGTGGATATGGGCCCACTGGACCGATTTTGGAACTAATGAAGTGCTGAAGAAGATTCTAGTCGACTTTGTGCCTGTGGTTGAAGAGGGCGGTTTCGTGATTTCGTCGTTTATGATGAATGAAGGTGTGTACATCAGTGGCTATACTCTCGGATGTCGTCTTTATTAACGTCGTCGTTATTGAGGCAATTTCGAGCGATTGATCGTTAAAGGCTTATTTTTGTGAGCGTTTGATCTCAACAGGTCTTGTTTCTGTTTTGTGTGGACAGCTATTCGTCCAGCTGTCGTATACATGGTTCCTACAAATAGCTATGCCCTTCAGAATGTACTATAAATGTTTCTGGCCTCGTTCCACCAGACTTCAAAAAATACAAGTACTTCTAATCGGATGCTCTACTCAAGTGCACGACTCGTGTTTGAAAATGTTGGTCATGCCTAGAAGTTCAGACTACTTCAATTGCCTCAGGATGGTCTTTCAGTAAACAAGGCGCTTGTAATTCCAACTCAAATACTGTGTAGCATAAGACAAGATAAACTCAGAGAGACGACTGCTCTGTTAGACGCACTAACGGATTTATCACTGAATCAAATCAGCAGTCATTCACGCTAGCGTACGTCCATGATTATTATCATTTACGCTATTGTGCTTTAACGATTGCTTCATTTTCGCGCGTCGTAGTGAGCACAGGCGTAACACACGCAACATTCCTCAGCGGTGAGGTCCTTCATCGTTTCATGTGCCCATACCTCTCATTCGCATATCTGGCTTATGAATCGCCACCCTAGCCATTGCGAATCGAGAGAAACGGCACAGCGAGCGGCAGGTAATCATCAAGGACTTGGAATCGCTGGCCAACTCAGCTGGTGCACCGATTGACAGTTGGTTTGGACTGTACAGCGAGAACGACATCGCCGATCAGATGACTCTGTTGGACAGCACCATCTACTCCACTGTGCCTGTGCGTCATTTTCTGTATCACATCTGGCCACTCAAGCACAACCAGCCCAAGAAGAGTGCCACGAAACCGCCGAGAAGCAGTACAAAACCACAAGAGACGCAAAACTCCACCAATGAAGTCACTGCAATCTCAACCAAGGTATGTTTGATGAACCAGTGCAATAGATGACTATAAACCATTGACTGATGTGAAACTGGCGATGGAACAATTGTCGACGCAGACATCACAGTCATCAATAACACAATGACGCGTGACACACTTGGCAATGGCGTGAATGATGATCAACCGAACAGTGTATGAGCGTTTACAGGCTCTGAGCAGTTCATTTTAACGCTGCACTCAGCATCCCATTCGCTTTCACCATAATGTTAGTGATTTTCATGATGTTGGTGATGTTAGTGATTTTCGTGATGTTAGTTATGATAGTGATTTTCGTGATGTTAGTTATGATAGTGATGTTAGTGATGATAGTTATTTTCGTGATGTTAGTGATGTTAGTGATGTTAGTGGTTTCGTGATGTTAGTGATTTTCGTGATGTTATTGATGTTAGTGATGTTAGTGATGTTAGTGATGATAGTTATTTTCGTGATGTTAGTGATGTTAGTGACGTTAGTGATGTTAGTAGTGTTAGTGATGTTAGTGATTTTCGTGATGTTAGTTATGATAGTGATGTTAGTGATGATAGTTATTTTCGTGATGTTAGTGATGTTAGTGACGTTTGTGATGTTAGTGATTTTCATGATGTTAGTGATTTTCGTGATGTTAGTGATTTTCGTGATGTTAGTGATGTTAGT